TTTTGATCCCATATACAAACACGCACAACACAGACTATATTGCCAAAAGTATTCACTCATCTGCCTTCACACGCATATACACTTGAGTGACATCGCATTCTTAAACCGAAGGGTCTAATGATGTTGGCCCATCCTTTGCAGCTATAACAGCTTCAATGCTTCAGGAAAGGATTTTGACAAGGTTTAAGAGTGTTTATGGGATTTTTTAACAATTCTTCCAGAAGTGGATTTCTGAGGTCACATACTGACGTTGGACAAGGAGTCCTGGCTCACAGTCTCCACTCTAATTCATCCCAGAGGTGTTTCTGTTGAGTTGAGGTCAGGAATCTGTGCAGGTGCGAAGTCAGGTTGGAACAGGAAGGAGCCGCTGGCCAGACAGAGAAGCGTGATTCGTCTCTCCAGAGAGCACTTCTCCACTGCTCTAGGGTCCAGTGGCCTTTCCACTGTGTTCCACCACAACGCTTTGCATTGCACTTGGTGATGTAAGGCTTGGATGCATCTCCTCAGTCATGGAAACCCATTTCATGAAGCTCTCTATGCACTCAGCTACTCTTAAGCTAATCTGAAGGCCATGTGAAGTTTGGAAATTTTAGTGATTGACTCTGCAGATAGCTGGTGACCTCTGAGCACTATGCGCCTCAGGATCTGCTGACCCTGCTCTATGTTTTTATGTGGCTTCCACTTTCTTGTAATACCACTAGAACTATGGAATATTTTGTAGTGAGAAACTGGACTGGATCTGCGCAGGTGGCATCCTATCATCATACCGCACTGGAATTCACTGAGCTCCAGAGAGCGACCCATGCTTTCACAAATGTTTATAGAAACAGTCTGCATGCTGGGTTCTTGATTTTATACACCTGTGGCTGGGTAAGTGATTGGAACAATGGGTGAGTGAATACTTTTAGTATTGTAGAGTATAAAAACTGTGAATCTCAGATATTAGCTTTCTGTGCTCACTTATATACCTGTCATGCGATGAGACTCTTTCTAAGAGGCTTTGTTTATACCAACAGATGCCGTAGAAAGCATGAAGAGCTCCAGAAAGGCTGTCTGGTAAAACTCTGATAGACAGGTACTGCAAATGGTGTTTCAACAGTTTGGCTTACTAAACTTATTGCAGAGTTGATGAGTCTGCAGCTAGGCAGGCCACAGGCTGCACAATTCACCCAGAAGGATGCGCACACACATTGTTGCACATGTATTGTTGGTAACAAAATGAAAAGATTGTGCTTTTCTTGTGGAGTAGCTTCTTAGGTTAAACAGTCACTTTAGCTACCTCTATGACTTACCACCTACACCTTGAGCTCTTTTGCAGGTCACCGCATATGCAGACATCTACTAAAACAGGAAAAATAAAAACTGATATAAAAGTTGTTTTTTAAAAGTCCTAAACTCCCCACAGGCATGTTCAAACTCCAAACTCACAGATTAGTTAGTAAAAAACCTTCCAGTGCACTTTGGGACAAGGCGAGTTTGTGTTCACGTTTACTTCCACGCAGTTCACCAAGGTCGCATCAAAACCCAACAATTGGACATAAATCTTGTGGTGACTCCTTCAAACCCAACAGTGAGAGCTGCTGCTGTGATGGATTATTTAAAAGTACAACTGTCATCACTAGGTTGACCTGAGCAGCAGAAGCATGCAATAATCTCATCGCACGCCAGTGAACCGGAGGCCCATCATACAATTTTCACGTGCTTTGTCCAACCGAGCGTGCGTCATTTGTTCCAGTGATGTGGCTCCCTAAAATCCAGCGATACTGATGTCATAATCTTCCTCTGGTGGATGTGATACAAGCCAGATTTGCGCAGGCTGATGTTTGTCCACCGACTCGATAACAGAACATATTAGATTTTTTTTTTAGAAGACAAACAAATGCTCCTGCTGAGCTTATCTTTTTAATTTACTCTCTGACACTGATGAATTCTTCAGTTACCTCACCTGTTGCGATCTTGATTTAAAAAAGAAAAGCTCTGTTTTATTCAGAGGGAGAACCCCCACCCCTCACAACCAGCCTTTCCTCCACCCGCTGTATGAGCTTGTGATCAATAAAGCTCATAAGTCTTTTCCTCCAACTGAGCGAGCTTCTGCTCCCTACCCGCAGAGAATCACTGAGCGTCAGACAGACCAGACACACTCCTCCTAAAGGTGCCTCCTGTCGCATACAAATCCCGACTTCGTCTTTCCTGCTCTGCTCTGCTCCGCCAGGCTCTGCTACATGCACATTCTTCCCTCGAGGCCAGAGACAACCAGACAAGTAGATAAGATTTTAGTGAGTCCTGGCCAAGAAGAGAAGATTAATATGAGGGGATTCATATTGTTTGTACATGCTCACACGCTTATGAATATGTTGATTTGTTTGAGGCTGTACTTAATGCATGTGCTCACGTGCCGACATACAAGCTTCAATCTTTTTTTTTGTGTTCAGCAAATTGAATTAGTGCAGAAGCAGCCACTCTCGCTATTTGCCTAATGAAGGAATCAGGATTTAAATGAAGTTTAGGGCCAAAAGCCACATTATGCTCGAGAAATAAACGGCTTGACTCATCTGATTTTCAAATTTTGTGAAATGTTTTGAAATCCCTTTGATTCAGGACCTCTCCCCCTGTGCAATGTAAATCAGCTGGCGAATAAATGACTTAATGGTCTCATTAATATGGATGCACATGTCAAGCTTGGCTGTCGTCAGATGTCAACAAGATCTGAGACAGACTGGACTGCCAGTTTGGATAGCGCGGGCGGAGGGAGGCTAAGAATGTTCCTGAACAACATTATTACAAGCGATTACAGACAACATGAGAGGATCTTCAAGCTGAGCAAATATCAGAAACGCTTTTAAACACACAGATACACGTGCACGCACACCTATTCAGGAGTAAAATGCACATTGGTTCTGGACTCCAGCCCAGGCATTGGACTGTATCCCAACTGATGTCACACATGACTGCACCACTAATAGAAGCAGGAAGGTTGGGGTGTAAATGAGAAGTTGAAATAGTTGACAAAAATGAGTGGGGGCTGGGGGGGTGGAGGAGGTACTGACATTCAGGTGGGCAGGAAGCCCACAGACCATCCCTCAGGTGGGATCAGGCAAACAAGCACGTGGATGGGCTGCAGTTGAAAGCGCCATTGCCGCATACGAGTCGGAGCAGTGTTTGGTTCAAAGCCAGTGATAGAGACCTAATTGCACTTCCATTATGAGTCATGCTACCGAGTATTCATGTGCAATTAGCGAGCGGTTCAATAAACGTGTTTCTGTTTACATGCCGGCACATATTGTAGGCACGCGTGTGAGCAAATCAGCTCCAGAGACTGAACTTTGATGTGTTTCCTTGATTGTATCCTCTGGCAGATAGCAGCGCTGTGTGATTTGGGGCGCAGGGGTTAGAGTGCCTGAGTCAGCTCCGGCTTTGCTCTGGGAACAGCCACTCTCCCACTCGTTTGAAATCACAGCAACGTACAGTCCATCTCAAGAATCAAACCACCACAGGCATTTTGTAGCAAAGCGATAGCCAAAAGTTTATCTACAAGCACTGAGATGCAGAAGCTGGCTTGCACATTTTGTTTAATCTGGGGACCCCATCGGCGTTTTTTCCTGCTTGGTTGGAATAATTTTTGTAAGTCAAATGTTGTATTTAAATTTTCATTTGATACCCAGCTGTCCAAAACAATCACGAAGAACATTTCTTTAATAAATCTTCTCTGGTTGTCGTGTGTCATTAAGGAAGCCTCACTGTGCTGATGTTGTGCACATACATCATCCTAGTGCACATACTTAGTTTAGAATATTAAATACAAATGTATTGATAACATGTTCACTGTTGATTTTAGGACGTGAGGCTTTTGGGTTTTTTTTTTTCATGGTTGCATAACTGCAAGCTTTTTGTTATGCAGAAGAGTGGGGTCAGAGGTTAAGTGGACTAAATGTGTGCCAGTGATGTTTAACCATAAGCATAAAATTCTCGGGTTGTTTTTATAGCAATGGTGAACACTCAATGCATCAAAGCACGGACAGAACCATTTACCTTACAGCTCCTATGTACTACTTGCCCAGTAATACTCTTTGGAAAATTTTAAAATCTCAATACCTCTCTTATGACACCCAGATCCTCTGCTTAACCTATTTATTTATTTATGAAGACATTGTTCAGGTGGTGTTTTTTCACATAAGTTATGCCGTATGCATTACTAAACCTTTGCATCTTAGCGTAATTATAACACAATTTCCAAAATAGTTGGAATGTGTTTGTAAGATTTTTATATTTATACATATTTTTAATGATATAAATCAAGGACATTTGTGATTGATCGATTATTTCTTTGGTGCATCAAGGCGACTTCAAGCTGCTCTGGAAAACTAAGTTGCAGTATTATTTAAAGTGAGCCCCAGTAGCTTATCATCTCCAAACTGAAGGCCAAGTTCCACAGATCGGGGATGTCAACAGACTGCACACAGCCAATCTCCACTCTCCTGGGGCTAACAGGAGGCTTGCCATGACCCTTCACTGGCAGGCTCGAATCCAGATTCTGCCTGTGGGCAGTTGGATCGTAGTGTCAAAGTGTGGAGAAGACATGGAGAACAGTGTGTCGTATCGGGCAGCCCTCGTTGGGGAAGAACAAGGCATGTCATCATTGGAGGCAATCTCAAAGCAGAGAGATTCTGCAACCAGCGGCGATCCCATATCTCCACAGTCTGGGAGTGAAATCTATCCTCCAAGATAACAGCACTCGCCCCCACAGAGCGGGGTTTATCAATGACTACCTCGAGAATTTGGTGGCGTGGAGTAGATGAAATGGCTTGCCTGCAGTCCTTACCTCAACCCCACTGAACACTTGTGGGATACGCTTGGTGCTGCTGTTTATTCCAGAGTGACCAACACAACCATATTGGCTGACCTGCTACAAATGCTGGTTAAAGAATGGAATACCATCCTACATCAGTGTGTGCTGCACGAGGAAGAGTTGCCAGGCTGTTGTGGCTCTGTATGGTCCTTCTAAATGTTACTGAAGCCCCTGTTTGATAAATGAATGAATTCTGGAATTGCCAATATGACTTGTTTATTAAGACTTTAATCATCTAATCCAGTACACAACACCAAACAAGAGTCAACAGCAGAATAAGCTGTTTGGCGTTGGCAGAGAAGATCTGGCAAGTTTTTCAGGGGTGCAGCACCCATACTGAACTCTGCTGCTCATACCACAAACTTATTTTCCTTACAAATGTGGCTCCAAATAAAGAGCAAATAAGCAGACTTTCCAACTGTATAAGATTTATTGCCAAGAAACATTGTTACAACCAAAATATAATCGACCAATCACAAAGGTCCTGACTTTTTGTGCTAAGTTTATATATGTAGTAGAGTATAGTTTTAAAATTTTATGCTTAATTAATTCCAGATTGATGCAGGAATTTAGCAACTTTGTAGTTTTTGTTATTTTCTGTTTCAAATGATTTCAGAGATTGAAAATTCTGGACCGCAGGAAGACCAATTTAACACAGTGAGCCTAGTTATTGTACCGAGTGCTGAATACAGTTTGTGTTTCTGACACAGCCAAGAGTTTCTTTAAAGACATCGTATACATCACTCAAGTGTGCATCAAGGAACTTCCATACTATTGTGCATGATGGGCTTTGAACAATGTGCTGATAACAAGCAGACATAACAGCCCTAAAGCTTATCGGCTTTTAGCCTTGCCTCTTGCATACTGAGATTTCTTTGTATTATTTGCATCTTAAGCTTAGTTCATTTTATTCCTAAATTGTTGAACTTTTTGTCCAAGCAATCTTTCAGAGTGCTGAACTCCCTCCACATAATTATCAGCCTCACTGTGTCATAATTTCTTCTTGAAAAGGTGGACCTAAGTGCAGAAGCAGACCACAGTACAAGTTCAAAGGGTTTATTTCCAAAGTCCAGACCATGCAATGAAAATTTAGGAGCTCTGCCACAGGGAGGAAGAGAGGAAGCGGCAGTAGTTAGGAGCGAGTGGAAAGGCCTGTAGATATTCTTGAGCACGGGAGTCCAAAAGATTTTAGTTTGCCACTGAGGAATTTCCAAAAGGCCACAGGCAACTGGACGACACACCGAGGGACTTCTGGATCAGGAGATGTGAGCATGGGCTAAGTACTTGAAAGCAAAACAAAACATGAAGCTAAGTGAGCCTGACTTCACCACAACAATAGCTGTACAAACTGAAGGAGATGGAGCGAGAGACCCTGGTCCTTAAGTACGCAGGTATGTGATGAGATGATAGGCTGGTTTGTAACGTTCAGCGAATCCTGGCAGAGGAGAGCCAAGGAGAGAGGAAAGAGAGAAAGAAAAGGGAATGGAGGGGCTGAAGTTGAAATCAAATTATAAATGTCTGATTGTAAAATGAAATGAATGAAATTAGCAGCTAGTAATACAGAAAACTGTGTGAGGCTAATCGTCACTAACCCTTTTTATAAATATCGCTAATATGTTGGGCTACAGAGGTCTGAAAGCAGTCGTGTTAAAATAATAATAATAATAGTGATGAATAACTTGTAGTTCCACCGTGTATCAGAAGACATACAGTTTGAACATTTAAGCATAGTTAAGATACTACAGGTAAGGAGGATATGAGCGCATGCTAATCAAACTTCTATGGACACTTGCTACCAGCCAATCCGTCTTGGGGAGGAGGGGTCACCTCTATCCAGGCTTGATGGCCATTAACTGTGGTCACCCCACTGGCTGTTCTGGATGTTGCCCGAATGATCAGATTATCCAGTCCAGCTCTGGACAAAGAATTACTTTAACATCCTTAAAGTAAGAAAAAGTGAGCTTTTTGTGAGAGCGAGTACAAAGATAAATGTAAGCTGGTCACAGATGAACACACACAATACCTAAAGGCTTGCTGAAGAAGCCAGCTTTTTCCTTTGTCTCCCTTTTTGTCTGCTTTTCAGGCAGCTGTTAGATTATTGCTTATTTGCACACTTTGGGAAAATTCTAGTAGCACTAATGTCTGTTAAGATTAAAAGACAAATAAATCGGAATTTAGATTTTGTCAGAATTTGACGACGAATGGGTGTAATTGTTCTTCAGCTTTTGCCAAACTCGATCAAATCCGAACCTGCATTTGAATTCTGATTTCAACCAGTCATTCTGTCATCTGGCTGCGCCGCAGTGTTGTCAACTCTCCATTCAAAGCCTCAGAGCTGACAGTCAGGGGAGGGAAAAATTAAGCTCTCTGTGAAATAAAATCCACACGTATTGCCTGCAACGAATAAAGGCATAGTGACTGTCAGCTACTTTATTCGTTATAAATAGCGGTCCAATTAAAGCCGAAAGCTTTGTCTCACTAGAGGCTCATTTACGGTACCACTTCCAGTATCTTCCAGTATCTTGAAAAGTCATGACAGATAAGGAACATAGCATTACTGTAAAACCCCCAGCCAGTCATTGGAAAGAGAGACTTGGGGGGGGGGAACAAAAACAATTCCTGACACTGAATTGATGAATATTTTTGAAGCACAAAAACAATTTACAGGGTACTGAAATAGCAAAGTGTTCCTATCTTACTGTGTTTCCCTGTCCCTAAAGGCTCTATTTTCTTAGTCGTATGGAGATTTAAATATACTGTGATCAAACTGATAAAGCAAAGATTTTGTGAATTTTTATTTTTTTACCCGTCAAGTCGGTCATGTCCAAATACTACTGTGTATCTAATATTGTATTCACTTCCTGTCACCCTGTCTTAATAGACAGTCACGCAAACAGAAAATGTAGAGCAGAAACTTTAACCGAATCCCACGTGAAGAAACACATTCCAGCAGATGAAGTGGGAGTTGTTCTACCACCATGTATTCTCGTTAGAGTACGGCACATATATGATGTGTGTACTGCACTTACCATCTCCAGGTGCTGTCTAGACTTCAGGAGCCAAGCCAGACCAAGTGAGCAGAGTTGAATGGCCTTTCTCCTGCCGTTAACACGGCTTGTCTGCCAACATTACTGTGCATATGGTCAGTGTGTTCCCAGGCGGCCCGGCTGCGCACAGACACGCAGCACTTCAAGCTGGCATCTTTGCCTACGCAGACACGCTGGAGAAGCACACACATGCAAACTGTCTCCTTTCCTTCCGTCTGGCCCGCAATCCAATGATTCCAGCTGACAGCAGCAGACGTGTCACAGCTGGCTCCGAGACCAAACTGAACAAAGGCAGGTTAAGCCAAGTAGGTCACATGTCTCCTTGAAGGCATCGATCCTTTCTCGCCCCACAGGGAGATTCACAATTCTGTCCATATGACGTTTCTGGTTTCATTTACCTTTATGCTCCACATACTTGGTGGTATGGTATTCTATACTTATTGTAGTGCTAGCAAGTAAAGGATGTATTCTAGACTACACACACACACACACACACACACGTGTTTACATATAATAATAAAAAATTCTAAAAAAAAGAAATCAATATTTTAGGACTTTTTCCTGAAGTTGAAATGTTTGTGATTTGACTGTTCGTTTGTGTATGTATGCCATTTTTTTTGTCCACTTACATGTACGTGTCCTAACAACAATATCTTCTGGAACAAAGACAGACCTTCTTTTACAAAATATTACTTTGCAAAAGTTCCCTCAATGGAAAAAAAGGATTGGAGCACATTGATCAAATATTTAGTTTAGCAGTATAAAAAAGCCAAAGTCTTAAGAATGATAATTCACCAAAGCAAATGTACTTGACCTTTTAAAAACCTGCCTAATTCTAATAATCTGAATCTAGTTTTTAATAGAGGAAATTATAAATAGGACAATTCTGGGCATTTTATAAAATGTAGCTTTTTATCGTGCTACAAAAACCAAAGGCCCTTTTATTCTTTAGTGTTACCAAAATCACACAACCAAAAAAACAAAGAGAGTTTTTTTCGTTGTTGTTGTCCTCTTGTTTTGTCTTTTCCCTGCAGGGAAGCTAATTAACCTGCCCATTTCTTTAGCTGATGGTAATGCACCTGAACACAGCTGCATACGTCTTCCTTGCACAAGGCTTTCGTCTGTTTCTCCTCTAATGAGCTTCTTTTAAGGCTTAATAATGAGTCACTTCCAAACACAGATCTTCTTACATTCATTATTAGCATTATAATTTCTTTCAAATGTCTAAATATGAAAAAAATATAGTGAGTGTAACAGTTTCCTCTCTTCAAATGGAGTAACAGTTAAGAGTAAAGAGGCATCTTTTTTCAGTTTTTTTTGTAAAATGTGTAACATATTCCTTGCATGAATAGTTATTCTGTCATTAGACCCGAAATGAATTCTGTCTCCACTGTCACAGAAGACGTGAGCGCAGGGAGTCGGAGTTATTGAACTGCACGTCAGTGTCAGATAACAAGTGTCAAGAGGCGCTAACAAGAGGGTCTTCAGATATGAATAGGGGGGCCTTATCCTAATCTGTGCAGAAGCAACCATCCCAAAACTCATCGCTGACATGGATGCAGACGTTTGGAGGGGTAAAGAGTTCATGTGATTGTAGAAAACAGATGCATTGCAATGCAAAAGAAATGTAGTCATTAGTGAACGCTGCATTCACGTAACTCGTGCATTTTGCTACTGATAAGGTCTGATCTTTAGGTGCACTTTTTCAAACAATTACAAGATCCATTCCTTCAAAGTTCACCATCAAAGCAATGTGTTTCTATTCTTTATTTATTGGGATCTCGTTATCTATTTCTTATAGCGTTATCTATTTCTTTTTTTACGTATGTTTTTAACGTGGGCTCCCCACGTTAAAAACATACGTAAAAAAAAAACTACTATGAAAACAGTTGATGGCACGGCACTAAAAATGGATAAAAGCAAGCAAAAAAAAAATGTAGGTGTAATTGATATTATCTCCTGCTGAAAAGCAGCAGTTTGACATTGTTCGATATAGAACAAGGTATAAGTAGATGGCCAGTCCACACATGAGTTGTTGTACAATCACGACAAAGAATATTTTATCATGAAATGTACTTTAACCTTCGATATAGCAGTCTGCTTGAATTGCCGATGAGCTTACTATTAATGTAAGTCTCTCTATGAAGGGAGGGAGAATGTAATCGGCTCCACTGGTCTGTCTGTTTGTTAGAGTCTAGTGTCTACATTTTTCACGGTATCATGTTCAAATTTGTTGTGATGGTAGACGCCAATAAGAACTTGAGCTGATTTAATATTGGTGTAAATCAGGGTGAAGGTCACATCAAATGTGAAAATTATTTAAAAAAAAATGTTATATTACCCACAATTTTTTAATGGATTGACGGCAAACTTCACGACAATATACTAGGCCTTGGGGGGACATAATTGACCTTGACTTTCATTGTTAGCATCCAAGGTCAAAGTTGAACTGTTTCACGTTGCATTGTGTTGTATCAGTCTTCTAACTTCACGTTGTTTATGCTATCTGAATCAATCATTCCCATGCTGTTTGTTATGGCCGATCAGTGCCATCAGGTTTGCAGTGGTCGCGCATCTTTTACCTTTTTAAATTTCGTTACGAGACGACCGGAGGCCCCACCCGAAAAACACAGACACAAGTAACAGATGCACATGGAGAGAAAGAGCCAAAACAGGACACTTTCATCATCTCTGTCCACAGCTTTCTGCCTTTCTCTGGCCCACCCAGTTGTACACAAATACGCATCTACACGGAAGCTTTTGAATCTTTAATAGCAGGAACATCTGTGTCCTCTACCACAATGGATTGACCTCTCCCACTGGTGCCAGGGTCTGTTCAGAACCTTCTTTGTTTAGCTTAGATGAAAGGTCAGAGACTCTGTGTACATGTTCAGAGGGACTAAGCATCATCCAGAGGGGTTTGAAGAAATGGTCCAGTGGACTCTCTCTCACGCTCTCTGAAGCTCAAAAATAACTTTCTATAGGAAAAAAAAATGAGGAAAGATCTGTCATCTATGATAATTTAATATGGATTTTAATTCACTGCTCTGTTAGTAATGGGTGTCCTAGAGCAAGTCAATTAATTGATTAGTGAATTTACAGAAAAATCCAGTATTTTACATTGACGTGGCATTTAAGTTACTCAATTCACTGTTCAGCATTGCGCACTTCCAGCTGCCTCAATTGTGATTATTTTCTCGGGACAGAAAACATTATTTTTTTAGGAAATTGCTGTGCATTTAACATTTTCTGCCATTTCACAAAGCAATCAAATACTTAAGGAAATTAATTTGGAATGAAAATGACTGTTAGTCACGGCCTATTTTATAGATGCATAAATTCAGCTTGTATATCCCAGTTTCCGTTGTGCATTTCCTTATTCGAGTTTATCTGTCACTGCGGTTCCACCACAACTTTTTTTCCTCCCATACTGCTGAGTAAAACAAGCACCCCATAGCCCTCACCATCCTGGAGGGAAGAAATAACTGCTGCCCTGTTGCCCTCAAACTCCTAAAAACATTGCATCAAAGTGTGCACTGGACTTGAGCCAAACCCCCCTCAGGACCTGCTCTATGCAGGGGGGTTGTTCAGCTGTACAGGGCAAAGATAGAGATGCAGGTTACATGACATAGTCTGGCCCTTAAAGACTTTACTATTGTATTTAGGAACTTATAAAATTTAGATCACTTCCTGACCATACACATTAATAATTTACTCGCAATACCAAGTAAATACAGGGCCAGTATTGCCAATTCTTTTAACCAATAAAAGCAGTCTATGGTAGGGGAGAGCAGCGTGCCATGATTTATGAGCTGAATCATCATCAATTTACAAATCCTGACTAACCCACTTTCCGTAATTAGTTAAAACAACTAAACACATCTTTCAGCTTTCCATGTATTTTGCAATTGTTTTTTTAAAGGCCTGAAATGTTAACATGCTTGTCTCTAAAACACTGCTGTTGTTTAAATGTGTTATGGGCTCTAAATAAAATATACATCAACACAAAAAGGTTCAGACATTTTTCCTAGTGCATGTTTATTATGTATTTTTTTTTTCATTTCTCCCCCCAACTTTTTATTTAGCACAATTCAGGCGGGCCACATAGGCTACTGAAATACTGTTGATATCAGGATCGAGCTGCCTACTTCTAATCGTGATGTGTTATTGCTGTGCATGGTCAGGTCAAGCCTTGAGCAGATCATGAATGTTGAAGCCTCTAATTTCAAGTTTTCCTAATACATTGTTTTAATGAACAAATGATTCTCGTCTCTTTCAGTATGAATAATTTATGATGCACACACATTCTGAGTATTCAAACCTCCAAAATTACATTTATGTAGGTTTGCATGTGGCACTACACTTTTTATTAATCCAACCTGCAGAAAAGCAGCGCTCCTTTTTAGCCTCTTACCATCTTACATTGTGGAGCTTTTTCTGTTAAACTTATTTTTTTAGTGACAGTTGAGGTTTAGGCTAGGAATGTGGTAAGAAACATTCAGCAAATGAGTCAGCCTGCTAGGACTCAAAACAGGAAATTTGCACCTACGTGATGTACTCCATGACTCCGGCATATTCAACCAAACAGCGGGCCCACGGACAAAGGGCCCTCTTTCCCTCTGTGTGACGCTCAAGCACGGCTATCCTATGGTGAGCTGAATTCTGAGAATTCTGGCAATAAGGGGAAAAAATACACAGAACAAAAGAAAAACAGCACAAACAAACATTAAATTTGTACATACTTTGTATCCATGCTGGTTTGACACAGTTGAGCTTCTTTATGTAACTTCGAAGCCCTTGAAACCCTTTACTCCTGTATGTTTGTGGAAAAGAACTGTGGAACAGACTGAGGGCAGACTGTACATATTCTGCTTTGACACATAAAGAACACAGAGGTCATCCTCACTCTGTACTTACATCTTCAGTTTGTAGCATAGGAATGGTGTTGGGTGCTTGTGAGGTTGTGGGAGGTTGGTCATTTTTGACATGCCACTTTTAAGTGTCTGGAAATTATTCATGTTCTTAGGAAAGGTCATTTATTCGATTCTGTCCGTGTACATTGATAATTTTAGTCAGTTAAAACGATAAGAAAATAATTCACTGGTAGACGGTAATAAAACAGCGACAGACCACTGAAGATGATTCACACAGTATAGGAAATCTCTTGATGTTGCATGGGCATTAATGCAGTAAAAACATTCATCAGCTCTTTGTCATTAAACTCCTCACTTGGCTTCATTTTGTAGTAAAGAGTGATGTTGCAGCTTGTTATATGGCCCTTGTAACAGTGATGCCAAGTGAGCTTGTGAGTTACAGCGATGGATACTAGACATCAATCGGACACTCAGAAACATAAAACCTGAGCAAAGCTAAGTTTGCATGCTGAAAACTAAAAGCATGCACATGCAAATGTATCTGACACGTTTATGAAACTCCGGCTTTACGGTCCCCACACATTAATCAGGCTTCTACACCACCTGCCTGCAAAGGCCAAAAAGGGACACTGAACTCTTATTCCTATAACTACACACCAGTGTACAGCACGTTAAAGTACACTGAGCTTCTTGAACAATTGCATTGTTAGGTCTTATTTACAGTATAACTCATGCCCATGATTCTTAAGCTACTACATTCTACATGAAACCAATTTGTACATAACCTGAAAAGTTGTTTACTGCCACACTGGGCAGCAGAGATCACCAAGGACTTTGCATTCAGTTGCATTTGTATATTTTTTTCTCTGTGTTACCATCAATGTAACCATGCCATCAGCTCCATCAACCTGACAGGAGAGGGGGCTTTTGGAAAAAACTGACAATATAAAAGGGAAATGTGTGACGCATCAAAGAGTAGCAAGTTCACATGCGACTTGTGAGTTATTGTTTAAATTATTGACACAGGAAATTACAAATATAAAGCGCTAAGGAAAAGTATTTGCCCCCTTCCTGTTTCTCACACACACTCATACATATATATATGTATCTAGCTCATGGTTGAAAATAACTGTACAATCCTGTGGGACTCAAGATTCAGACAGAAATGTGATGGCTAACCAACTAGGCAGTCGTGGTGGACAAGCAGAGGAAGATGGCTGTAGTGATGGGTGGAGTGACAATATCAGAAAGAAGGATCATGAGGAGCTGGAGCTCAAACAAGGGCTGAGAGATGAGCTCGAGAAGATGTGGACGGTGATTGCAACCCCATGGCAATCAGAGCAGTGACCACCAAACTGGTGGAGTGGCTCCAGGAGATCCCAGGAACAACATCTGAGATCTCAGTCCAGAAGAGCGCAGCACAGGACCCTCATGCTCCCAGGCCTCTGGTAGATATCAAAGACTGCACGCAATATGAAGCTTGAAGGAAGAAGACTGCATGCAGGGTGAGTGGGGAATTTCTATATATCATAGATCATATCTATATATACATTCAGGCCTGGGTGTGGCTAGTGAAATTACATTTTTCCCCCACAAAAAGCAGTTAAGCACAGTTTTAGATCGCTTTTCTTCCTTAATAAACAAAATCATTTAAAAATTGCATTTTGTACTTACTCTTTGTCTAATATTAAAATTGGTTTAATGATCTGATACATGTAAATGTGACAAATATGCAAAAAAGTAAGAAATCAGGTAGGGGGCAAATACATTTTCACAGCGCTGTATATCTAATTTTGAAGATGGATGTGAAGTAGAGCACTCCTCAGCTCTATGTAACTCATGGGGCCACCAAAAATGTTTAATGTTGTGACATTTTCCAGTCGGTGGCATACCGCCGAAGTTGACAACCATCTCCTGACAACAAATATTATCTTTAGACACTTTTATTCTCGCAAAGGAAATACAGTCTGATAGATATGATTTGGTGTGCCTTTTTAACTCCTCTGGGGGGTTGCTGTGACTTTATTAGACGCTGTTATTTGCTCCCATCAACGTGTTTTCCAGGCCAAATGGATCCATTCCCCATTGGGAGCACTCCAAGCCAAGGAGGAATCTAAGCCCCCCATAATCTGCCATGTTATTGAATTAACGGCTTACGCCTGCTCTTCAGGAGTATGTCAATTATTCTCATTTCAATAACAAACTCAGTCACTTCTTTTTCAATTAAGAGTACACCTAGTGCTGAAATATGAAGGCACGGACATGTTGATTGATGTATTCTCTCTTTTTTCTGTTACACAACTATAGAGCCCCCCCTACCCAAATCTCCAAATCTGTGCTGTATAATATAGATTGAATAATTCAGTATGTTTATGCTGCATTGCTAGCAACTGCTTCAAGTGCGGCTTTGACACAAAATAACACATTTTGTGATATTAATGCGATATTCACATCTTTCATGAGCGGTGATTTCACATTTACTTCTACAAGTTCAGGTTTTCAACCGCGGATAAACAAAGCGGACGTGACCCCCCCCTCTGTCACTGACAACAGAAGCTCTTTCTACATTTTAAACCGTGAAATTGGCAGTATTGACATGGAAGTGCTTGCCAATGCACGAGATAGATCGAGAGACTCCTGAAACAACACGCCGTGTGTTATTAAAGCTGAAGGTAAAAGAGACTCGGAATATGTTGCATAAAATAACAAATGGTGCCCCATTTTGTTCAATTCGAGGGGAACAGTGGAATTGAGGGGAACAAAATGATGCATTTTTAATAGCGTGTTGCATGTATTTATTACCCATCAGGCTTAACGCTCTCTGTAAAACATGCATTTTTAAAACACTCATAGCCCGACACATACATTTAAATTTTTCAGTGTGTGCCTTTTTTGTACTTGCATTTGACGCGAATGTCATACAGCAGAACTTTGCTGGTTAGACATTGATCTTCGGCTCTGGGTTACATTTCTCAGTAGTAAATGACTTGTGATCCTTCGTATGTGTGTGCAGTTTGATGCTGGGCTCTCATTAGAGCAGGCTACCTCACACAGAAAATCAAGAGGCAGCCTGATGGTAGTTTCAGAAAAGGAGGGAAACAAGTGAATAAAGGTGCCATGTGTGGTAAAACCACCTTTTCAAACAAAGTTGGAAAAGATGTAACAAGAAGGCGATGAGTTTACTAGGGAAAGAGAACTTTTTTCTGCTGTAAATAAGAAAGTTGGGACAAAGTGCGCCCTGACACCTTGAGTTTGAAACTTTTTTTAAAGAAAAGCACAGAAATACTAACACAGTGAGTTCAGAATGAACTCTGCATCGTAATCCGCAGAAAATCGGGTTTCGATGACATATTTTGTTAAATAACGCGCGATTTGAAAAATCCACTGAGGGGCTTTTTAAAACGTGGAAGCTTTTTAACGTATTCGTAACACATTCTTCTACACCAGCTACTGAAAGCAGCATGTGGCAAAAAATATAAGGGAACTTGATGTCTCACATGCTTTAGGCAAATTTCTACCGCGATGATAACCTGATCTTGCCTCGCTGTGATGAATCAAAATGACAGTAAAAACTGATATTTAAATGTTAATGGAACATTTGCAGAGTACCTGAAAGCTAAAAGAAAACCTTACTCCGTGATTTTTTATTTATTTCTCTTTTTGCTGCAGATTATCAGCGAGCGGATTCTTGAACGAAATGCATTTATCGTGGCTGAACGCTGGTCAAAAACAAAGCAAATCCAACAGCGTGTGCTTGAAGAGTGCATTAGATTAAATATGCAGCACTGAGTCACATTTTGGTTATATTATAATTGGCGTTTTAATGCGGGGTTATGGAGCTCAAGTGATTTTTTTTCCTCCTATGTGAAGATGGATTTATGTAAATCTGTATAACCTGTGAAAGGTGCTCGTTATGCAGAACCCATTCAGATAAGATGGATCAGTCATTCTGCAGCTTTGAAACTCTTTACTTCCTTTGTTGCTCTCCCTATACAGCGTCTCAGAACTCTTTAAGACTGAGTTTTAAAACTCTTGCCAACCCCTGCAGCCAAAGGTAGCCATTTTCAGAAAATAGCTCAAGACAAATCAAGTGTACTCAAACTGCCCAGGTTGTCAGAAAACTGAAATAAATCCTCAGACAAGGACCCAGATATTTTCTCTCATAACTTCATGGCCCAAGCCAGAGTGTAGAAAATTGATATAATATTAGAAAAAAAGAAATCCTAAAATGAAGACATATCAGGGCTGTGGATGTGCTGCTTAGAGTTTCTTTGGATTTTTATTTTTTTTAAAAAAATATTATTTGTTTTTTTGCACTCTGGTGACAGGTTCAGTGCAACTTGCATATTTATTTGGTTTGTGCAATGTTAACACCCCATGTGGGCAAATTCAGATGGAAGGCATGAGTCAATTCAAAAGCTGTATTTTATTTACACAAAATGAAAATGAAAACAACACCGACTCCGTCCCACCTCAAGAAATAATTCGGCTTCAAGATTCAATAAGAGAAATAAACACAGCCCACGGTCTTGCAGCAAACTGCCACATCCTCCCTGACTTCACACCAGTGTCTGCTGTCTTACGTGTCAACCTTTGCTGCCCTGGAATCCCACCATCTGCTTAAATAAGCACAGAGTGGAAGTAAACAGGTCCAAGTAAGAGACTAGCAATCAGATTATTGCCAAACATCTTCATTTAGCCGTGAACACGCTTGCAAACAGAAATGAGCACAGCAAACGCAACAGCGTGTCAGCTACTCTAACGTCTAATAGTTTTGCCTGCCGGCGACTTGGGAGC